TGCACGCACATCGAACACACGAGCAACATGAAGCAGACTTGTCCTCATAACACTCACACGCAACGACACGCACACACACACACACACACGCCACGCCACGCCACGCCACGCCAGGGTGACGGGGAGAGCGGGTACGCTGGTGGAGACGAGCACATCCGCCACAGTTTCCACACGTATCTGCTGCAGGCCGCCATCTGTGCCGACACCGCCCGTGCACACGCGACCAAGGCCAACCTGGACAGGCTGGCAGACTTCAACTGGGACTGGTTCGCGGCGTGGCGCAGCACAGTTCCATATGCGCGGTGGTGCCACTACTCGGACGCGGTGCTCAGCGTGTACCACCTGCGCCCATGTGACCTCGAGGCGTCGCGCTTGCACGTGTGTGCGGGCGCACTGCAGGTGGCAGATGTTGGGCGCAGGTTCAGGCAGCTCACGACCACACAACTCGGTACCGTTGGATGCATGCATGCGTGTGTTTGTGTCTGTGTCTGTCTGTCTGTCTGTCTGTCTGTGTCTGTGTCTGTGTGTGTGTCCGTGTGCATAAGTGACACTACCTTCCCACAATTACTCTGCACTGTCAACTGCCCTGCTCACATCTGTACCACGCCAACACCACCACAATCAGGTGCTGAGCGCACTGAGGCGGCCTCGCAGCGCTTTCGAGCAACTGTCGACCAGAGCGAGAAGGTACAACACACTGTGTTGAGAACTATGTGTGTGTGTTCGTGTGTTCGTGCGTTCGTGCATGTGTATTTGCGACAGATCCACGTCGTATCCGATGCCTTTTTGCTCACGATCGACACGCGCACACACACACACACATACATACATACATACATACACACACACACGCGCACACACACACACACACACACACACACACACACACACACACACACACACAATCAGGCGCTTAGCGAGGCGTACGAGGCAAGCAAGAAGGGGATTGCGTCTGCTGTGAGCTCCATCCGTTCGTGGTGGGGAAGTGTGTCGAACCAACAACGCCCAGCCCCAAGTGCCACAGCCTCGTCGCAACAGCAGTCTCAAACGCGTGCCAAGCAACTCTCAGATGACGCCTCTGAACATGGCGAGAGTCACGCATGACATACGGTCGCAAGGGACAACCGACACTTACCACACACACACACACACACACACACTCTCTCTCTCTCTCTCTCTCTCTCTCTCTCTCTCTCATATGGCCTTGGCACATCTTGTCACTTTCGAGGTTGTGCTAGTTGTTGTTGTGTCTCACGTTGTATTGTCTCGCATGGGACTGTTCCCTCTCCCTTTCCCAAAGGAGGATTAAAGAACAAGAAGAACACCAAGGCAGTGAAACAAGACAAAGATACAGACAAAAGCTCACGCAAGACACCAACTGCCGCCGCTAAGCGAGCCAGGCATGGAAAGTGCCGTCTTGACAAGGCAGACAAGGCAGACAAGGAGGTGGTGACACTCGTATACACAACAACACGCAAACGCAACACAAGCTGCACGCACGCGCTCAAGACGCCAAGCGCTTACTGTGCGGCCTGCGCGGCCTGCTGCTGCGGTGCCTGCTGGTTGGCCTGCTGTGCGGGCTGCTGTGCGGGCTGCTGCTGCTGCTGGTTGCCCTGCTGCTGCTGGTTGGCGGGCGCCGCGGCGTTGCCGGTGAGGATGTTCTGGGCAAGCATGACCTGCTCGCGAAGGGCTGCGTCGCTGGCCAGCAGGTTCATCAGGTGGCCGGCGTCGTACGCAAGCAGCATGCCCGTGATCTTGGGGGCGCGCTCCTTGTCAATGTTTGCGACGCGGTGGTACAGCATATCGCCGAGGTACCGGCGGCGCTGCTCCTCGTCCATGTGCGCAAGCTGCGACGTCACGTCCTGTGGCAGCTGCATCTGCTGCTGGGCCTGCTGCTGCTGCTGCTGGCCCTGGGGCGCCTCTTGTTGCATCTGCTGCATCTGCTGCTGTGGCGGCATCTGCTGCTGCCCGGCAAACTGCTGGCGGAACTGCTGTGGGTTGCGCGCCATCTGCTGCTGCGCCTGTGGCGGCATGGGCCTGTTCTGCTGCTGCATGTAGCGGTTTGGCCCGCCGACAGGGCCGCCGCGGTTGCCGGCCTGCGCGGGGAAGTTCATGGCGCGCGGCATCTGCGGGTTGACCATCATCATCTGCGGGTTGTAGTAGCCGGGGCCAAACGCGCCCATGGGCATGCCGGGGTACTGCGGGTACATGTACATGCCCTGCTGTGGGTGCTGTGGGTGCTGCTGCTGCTTGCGGGCCTGGCGCTCCTGGCGCGTGAGGTGGAAGGCAACGTAGATGGGGCGGTCCTGCAGTGGCTGGCGGTTCTTCTTGGCAATGGCAGACTCGGCCTCCTCGCGCGTGGCAAAGGTGACAAAGCCAAAGCAGCGCGAGACACCCTCCTTGTCGCGCATCACCTTGACGCTCATGACGTGGCCGCACTCCTCAAAGAACTTGCGCAGGTCCTCCTCCGTCACGTTCTCGTTGAAGTTCTTGACAAAGAGGTTGCCACCGCGCTGGCGGAGCTCGCGACGACGCTCCTGCAGCCTGCGGCGAAGGCGACGGATGCGCTCCTGCTTCTTCTGGGCGCGCTGCACGTACAGCTTGGCCTTGGAGATGTGGTCGGTTGCAGCCTCCATCTTCTCAGGAAGGCCCGTCATGGCCTTGTCGACCGTCTCCTCGCCGTGCTCCTTGAAGAGGATAAAGCCAGAGAGCTTGCCGTCGGCGACCTGCAGGTGGTGGCGCTCGACCTCGCTGCCGGCGCACTCCTCAACCGTCTTGACAAAGTCCTCGACCTTCTTGCCCTCCTCAAAGGCCATGCCGTCGACGTAGAAGATGTCGCGCTGGTGCATCTCGCCCTCCTCGACGCACTTCTGGGCGGCCTCGGTGTCGGCAAAGTTGACAAAGCCGTAGGGGCGCTCGGTGTCCTTGAGCTTGTAGGTGCGCAGGGCCTTGGAGGTGATGTCGCCGTAGGGCTCAAAGAGCTTGCCCAGCTCCTCCTCGTCGGCGTCGCGGCGCAGGGACTTGACGTAGACGTTGGTGAAGTTCTTGGTGCGCTCCTCCTGCTCCTGCTCGCGCTGCTTGCGGGGCTTGAAGGGGGCGACGCGCAGCTTGCGGTCGCCGCCGGCGTCCTTGCCGTTGGCCTCGGCAATGGCGCGCTCGGCGACCTTGGGGTCCTCAAAGTGCACAAAGCCAAAGCCGCGGCAGCGGCCGCTGTGGTCCAGGACGGCCTTGCAGGAGAGGATCTTGCCAAACTGCTCAAAGGTGTCGCGCAGGTGGACGCTGGTGGTGTCCGCGGGCAGGCCGCTGATGAAGATGTTGCCGACGCCGGAGCGGCGCTTCTTGGGGTCGCGCTCGACCTTCATGATGCGGATGTGGCGACCGTGCAGGTCGTGGAAGTTGAGCTGGCCCATGGCGGCCTCGGCGTCCTCGGCCTTGTTGAAGTTGACGTAGCCGTAGCCGAGGGAGCTGCGGGTGATCTGGTCGCGGCACACGCGCACGGACATGACGCTGCCAATGGAGGAGAAGAGGTTGAACAGCTCCGTCTCGTTCACCTGGGGCGAGAGGTCGCCCACGTACAGGGACGCGGCAGCGCCCTGCGGGTTGGCGGGGACGGGGCCGGCGACGCCAGGGAACGCCTGCTGAGGCTGCTGCTGCATGGGCGCGGCTGCGGTCGTGGCGCCAACGGCACCCTCGCCCTGCTGCTGAGCTGCGACAAACTGCGGCTGGGCTTGAGCCTGGGCGGGTTGCTGCTGGGTTGCCTGGGCTTGAGCCTGGGCGGGCTGCTGCTGAGCAGCGGCGGCTTCGGTCTGGCTGGCCATGATGCTTGGTGGTGATTGGAAGTTAACGGGTAGTTGGGTTTTGTTGGGTTCTTTTTGGTTCTGTTTCTGGTCCCTCCGCGAAGAGATTAACAATGAGCTTCAAACAGGAAGACTACTTTCAGGGCTTGTGTTGAACACAGAGCAAGCACGGGTGCTGCTGGACGTGGGGTTTTGGTGCGGAGGAGTTGAGGGGGGGAAAGGGAGCGGGAACGCACGCGGAGACGGCGACAACGATGAGACTTCTTGGAGCTTGGATGGGTTTGGAAAGAAAAAGGCACATGCACACCACGCGACCCAGCCAGCCAACAAGGCAAATGGAAAATCTCTTGAAAACACCATTCAATTGTCAGAACAGCTGACTCAGCGAACTCCGCATCGAATCGCGGAAGAAGGACACCAACCGCAACAAAAGCTTGCTGGCTGGGCAGCGACCAAACCTGTGTGGCTGCACTGCTCTTGAGACGTGAGCAGCACACGGAGGCTGGCTGGCTTGATTGCTGGCTGGCTTGATTGCTGGCTCATGTGCACGTGGAGGTGCGGCGTCAGTCTTGAGCAGAGTGAAGCTGCAGAATGGAGACGTATGCGGTGCCGTTCACGCCAATTGTGGTGGATCACTTCAACGACAAGAAATACCACCGCAGGGAATCCGGCACCCTGTTCTTCCTGTCCCACTTCCACGCAGACCACTACGGGAAGCTGAACAAGGACTGGCAGTGGGGTCCCGTTTATTGCTCCCAAACAACGGCCAAGTTAGTGGCCGCTGTGTTGGAGGTCGACGCAAACTACCTGCGTCCACTGCCACTGGATACCTGGGTGGACGTCACCGCCACTTGCCGAGTGGCCCTCATCGACGCCAACCACTGCCCAGGCGCAGCCATGTTTCTCTTCCATGTCAGAGGTGGGCTGGTTGCCGATGCTTTTTTTTTCCTTGGCAATGGGCAAATACGTGCGAGAATACACACACACACACACACACTTCCGCGCATGAATTGTGATTGGGGGGGGGGGTGAGTGCTCTTTGTCAATTGCTTCGCGAAGCAGCTGAGCACGATTCTCCTTTCGGCTTGATGTTCCCGTGCTCCTCATCTGCAACGCCTGCCGTTGTTTGTGTGTCTGCCCTGTGTAGAAACAGAGGGTGGCTTGGAGCATTGGTACCTTCACTCTGGGGATTGTCGCTATACCCCTGCATGGAAACAACACCCCCTCCTGCAGAACGTGGCCCTTGACATCTTATTCTTGGACACAACATATTGCGATCCCAAGCACACGTTCCCGCCACAGGAGCAAGTTGTTCGCTTTGTTTCTGACACGGTCTCGCAATACATGCACGAGGACCAGCAAAGAGCCGACGGTGTCGGTTCGTCAAATGCGTACATGTGTCTACGTATGTGTCTGTGTGTGTGTCTGTGTGTCTGTCTGCGTGTGTGTGTTTGTGTGTGTACATCTTGTGTGCCCTGGATGTTTTTGTGAGATTGCGGGTTGCTATATTGGCAGCCTGACTGTTAATTGTGCTTTCGACACTTGGCATCGTGCCAGGCACGTTGACACGCGTATGCTCGAAAGTGAGCGAACGGGAGCCTGAAGGTGTTCTCATGCACGCTCCATGCTTTGCACTCAACTGCTTGGATACAGATACCCTGTTTCTGGTGGCCACATATTCCGTCGGGAAAGAAAAGATCCTCACACAACTTGTCAAAGACCAGCACAAGCCACTGGTGCGTCATACGTCACCCACAGCCCGCTTGGCCTGCTTTCACTCGCGTTTGTAGCGATTCATCGAGGCCTGTAAGAGTTGGTGTCGTGCCCTGCACTCTTCTCACAGACACGTGTGTGCGTGCGTTTTGTGTGTGTGTGTGTGTGTGTGTTGTGGTTTGTGCATGTTTGTTTGTGGGTGGGTGGTGTACAATTGTCTCCCTGGGTGTGTATGCATGTTTAGGTTGTGTCTGAGAAGAAGCGGCTCATGATGCAGCAACTTGATCTTGACTGGCCCGTGCCATTCGACGAAATGTTCACCTCTGACCACCTCGTAAGCGCTGCGGCCATTGTCGCTGTGACTGACGCTCATGTTTATTGGACTGAGTTGTGACTTTGTTTCGCCTTGGAGATGCGTGTGTGTGCGTGTGTGTGCGTGTGCAACCAAGGCGAGCAACGTGCACGTGGTGGGGTGGCACATGCTGGGCACAAGGCGAGCAACGTGCACGTGGTGGGGTGGCACATGCTGGGCACAATGGCCGCCGGTGGGTGGACGTTTCTGCCAGATTACGAAACGTTGCATGACATGATTGACCACTACAAGCCAAGGTGATGTGTGTGTGTGTGTGCGTGTGTGTGCATGTGCGAGTGTGTGTGTGTGCGTGTGCGTGTGCGTGTGTGTGCGTGTGCGTGTGTGTGCATGTGCGAGTGTGTGTGTGTGTGTGGAGAGAGCAATGGTTGTTGTGACTTTGTGGGTGTGTGGATCTGCGAGTGTGTGTACATCCTCGTGTGCTTGATGTGCGTGCTCACGTGTCCCTCAAGCTGACGCGGTACATTGGTTATCTTTCTGTTGCAGATATCACCGAATTGTCGCGTTTGTGCCAACGGGTTGGACATATGTCATTGCGAAAGAACACCAGCGTCGCCAGGCACTCGCCCAGCACGGTGCGTCCAGCCGTCGTGTATATCTGTATGTGTGCGTGTGCATATCTATGTGTGCGTGAAGGCGAATCTATTTGTTGCATGTGTAAGCTGCTCTGCTCATGCATACGTGTCGGTGATTGAATCTGCTCTCAGCCTCATTCTTGCCTCACCCCAACCCCACTTTGTCACATGTCTCACACCCTTCTCTTCCACCACCACCCCGCCCCACTACCCCCACCACCGTGACTGCTCACCAACAACGCCAACACCACCAGACGAAGAGGTGCTTGGCGTGCTGCACCACAAGGAAACCAAGCGGAACGTCACGGTCTTCACGGTGCCGTATTCCGAGCACAGCAATTACCTCGAGCTCAGGGAATTTGTCGCCTGGCTCAAGCCTGCGCGTGTCGTCCCAACAGTCATAGGTGTGTGTGTGTGTGTGTGTGCGTGTGCTTATGTGTGTGTGTGTGTGTGTGTGTGCTGGTGTGTGTATGTGTGTGTGGTTGTATGTCTCTCTGTGTCTGTCTGTGTGCGTGCGTGCGTGCGTGCGTGTGTGCGTGCGTGCGTGCGTGCTGGTGTGTGTCTGTGTGTCTGTGTGTCTGTGTGTCTGTGTGTCTGTGTGTCTGTGTGTCTGTGTGTATGCTTGTGTGTCTCTCTGTCTGTCTGTGTCTGCAGTGTTCGAATTCGCTCACGTACACACGCCCAATGTCATTCGCAAACATCACATACATATGCGCACGTGCACGTGCATGCGCTGGCGGTGGTGCCGCCTCAGGCGGCGGGCGAAGCTCGAACAAGGCGCGCCTATACGCCAAAATCTGCTCGCACTTTGATGATTTGATCGACAAGAAGGCCGCATCGCGCAACTTTCTCGCGTCCATGCTCGGTGATCTTCACATGCTCCCCAGCAGCTCTGTGTGTGTGTGTGTGTGTATGCGTGTGTATGCGTGTGTATGTGTGTGCTTATGTGTGCTGTGTGTGTGTATACGGGTGCAGAGCGACGCTCTGTGGAGATTAGTGCAGCCCAAGCCAATTCAACATACGCTAACCCTCCTCTCACCTGCAT